GAGATGATTTCTTTGTTGCTTTGTATGTACTTCCCCCAGGGTATAAGCCCTGCTTTCACTGTAGTTGATGTTGATATAATGTGTGGAGGGGAAGGGAAAAAACAAACTGTTTAAATAGGGTTACTGGTAGACCCATTACAACAATGAGATGTACAAGATGTTATATTGAAAAATGAACTTTACAACCTTGGCGGGGTTGGGGGTGGGGGGAGTGGGGATGGTGGGGTGGGGGGAAGGTATTTGGCGGGGGGGGGGGAGGGGGGGGGGGTAAGGGGGTGGGGGTGGAGAGGGGGAGGAATGGGAAGGGGAAACAAAGGAAGAGGCAACAATGCTTGATAAGAAATGTACTCACTATCTTGCCCATGTAATTGTAACCCTTCTCTATAGTATTTTCACACTAATAATAATAAAAAAGAATACGGTATCTGTGTCATTTGGTTGTGAGAAAATGAACACCACAGTACAATCTGTGACATGCTCCTATTACAAAAACATCAATAGAGAAATAAATGAAAACTTTATCTCTGTATTAGAATTGCTTCTCTTTATGCTAGACTTTCTAACTATGATCAAATTACTGTGGACTAAAAAAATCTATGTTTTGAACCTCAGGCTTCTCCTCAGCCTCTTTCTATGATGCCCTTACTATTTCACAGCTCTGCTAATGAGGAGAATACTAATTATTTAGCTAATCCCTTTATTATAATAGAAGGTCACTTAGTTACAGAAGAAAATGGACTTCTTGAATGCTCTTTCTCAGTGCTTAATCAGATTTCTGGTTGCATGATTCAGAATCAAGTCGTTAAAATTTAAATAGCACTTTAATAAGAAGAAAGAAAGCTACTCTGCTAATATTAGAGCCACAAAAACCTTTTAATCAAGTTTTTTTAATGGCATTCGTATTTTTAGTTATTTTTTAAAAAATTAAAAACCCTAGAGTATAGAATGATTCATCCTGCATATTTGAAACTTACTGATTTATAAAACCACTAGTTGAAAAAAAATCATTCAAACAAAAGGTAAGACTGCTCCATGGCTATGATTCATATTCATATTTATGTCTGAATGAAATTGATAACTGAATAATGCCAGCAGGATAGTAGTGGGGGGAATTTTCAGGCTGCCTTCATCAAAACATAAGAGAGATCAAATCTTTCTAGGGATACTCATTTCGGGGGTTCTCAGAAATGCTCTTGAAAATTAGGCATGTTGGACTAAAAGGTAACTTAAAGAGAAACAAACCACCATCTTGCAAAATTTAGACTAATTGTTCAAAAGCCTGGCGTGGATGTCCAATATGCTAATAGTGAGGTGAACCTATTAAACACTTGGGAATTATTTAATTCTGATAAAGCCTAAATGTGGTGTAGCTTACGTTTGAGTAGCACATTAGTATTTTGGATTGCTGAAGAAAGTCCTCCTCCGTATTACTCTCATAATGGTACTTGAGGATTTAAAAAGAAGAGGGTGGAAGCATTTCCTAGTTCACAGACTTGTTGTAAATAGTGCCCCAAGAAGACCGGGTAAACCCAGGGAGGTGTGTTACCTCTGTGCAGACATAGAAACTGAACCTAACTCAATGACAGATCCATAATTTGTATTCGCTTTTCTTAGGATACATTTTTGTACATGGATGGTAGCTGAACTTTGATAAAAATTGATGTCTCTGCCTTGACTCTCCCTCCTCCATTCCATATCTCCAACCCTTTGTAGGTTTTATAGGTTTGTTCGTAGTAGTAGTAGTAGTAGTAGTAGTAGTAGTAGTAGTAGTTGTTTGTTTGTTTGTTTGTCTTTTGTGCTGTCCTGGGACTTGAACCCAGGGCTTGGACACTATCCATGAGCTTTTTGCTCAAGGCTAGTGCTATACTACTTGAACTACAGCTGCTTTTCTGGCATTTTGGTGGTAAATACAGATAAAAATTTCCTGCCTAGGCTGGCTTTGAGCAATGATGCTCAGATCTTAGCCTCCTGAGTAGCAATGATTACAGGCATGAGCCATCTGTGCCTAGCTAGGGTTATTTTTCAGAGAGAGTCTTGCCTTATATTTGGGCCATTCTGGACTGTAACACTCCTATTTGTGCTTCCCCTTGTTGCTGGTGTGAGAGGTACATGACATTATGCTCAGTCACTGGCTGAAAGAGTCTTGTGAACTTTAAAGCCGTCTTGTCAACTTTATATCAAGGTTGGTCTCCACCTCCCAATCTCCACCACCTAAGTAGCAAGGATATCACCCTTAACCATCACACTTGTTGTTTTTAACCACAAAATTGTACAACATTTTTGGAATTCTACTATTATAGAAGTTCAATGGATATTGCATTAAAATAATTTGGATTATGATTAATTTTCAAAACTACAGATTTAGTAGTTTGCTATAGTTAGTATGCTATTTAAAAACTGATGGGCTTAGAATAGCTCAATAAAGTAAAATTAATAGAATTGTGCCTCTTTTTGGAAAGTGCTCAGAAGTATACACTTTATATGCTTTGTTTAGATTCTAAATAATTTTACATTTTTTTGTAGTTTTTGTAGTTATAGTGAGAGGGGTTTTGTGCTTTTGTTATTTATTTTGTAATTACAATTACAATTATCTTGTAATTACAATTATTTTTCAGGAAAGAAGTCACTTACTCATATTAATCCTATAGTATTCTCACTAAAATATCTCAATTCCTCCAAAGTTATTCAGTTTTTAACGTGAAATTTTATTTATAAAATAATGATTACCTTGAGTATATTACAGGGTGTTAGGATAAAATTATCATATGCCTGAAAAATCTACAACACAGTTACATTTATTAAATTTCTTATTAATATATATTCTTTGAGAACTATAATTATGAAAAATACCAACATGAATCTCTATTGAAATCAACTATAGAATATTCAATGTGATGTGCTTAAGCTTGAGTCTAAAATGATTTTAAAAACTCATAAATTAAGATGATTAAAAAGTTAAGTCATAACCAGCTCTGGTGGCTTATGCCTGTAATTCTCGCTACTCTGGAGGTTGATATCTGAGGACCATAGTTGGAAGCCAAACTTGGCAAAAAAGTCCCTGTGAGACTTTTGTATCCAATTAACCATTCAAAAACCAGAAGTGGTAGAGCATTATCCAATTAACCACTCAAAAACCAGAAGTGCTAGAGCATTAGCCTTGAGCACCAAGATACTCAAGGGAACCACCCAGTCCGAGTTCAAGCCCAAAAACAGAATAAAAAAACAATCACAACACTCTATCATTTCTCTTATTCAAATCTATGTTTAATTTCTATACCTACAAAAAATGGAATCTGAAAATTATGTATGGGTTGGATGACCATGAAATTAAAATTAGTAACCAGTGAAATTCTGAAAAATGGACCTTTCTTTATACTTTCATTATGGCTTATCATTACACTATACTGAAACTTTAAATATATAAATAAATATAACTGTTAAATAGATACTGTTCCACCAAAAGAAAAAATAAAATCACATTTCATTTCGAGATTTAAAGGGGAAATCACCTTTGGGAAATTTGAACATTAGATTTCTTCTGAGAATGTAACAACACAGCTGCCTTTTACCAGACAAGCTTATTTCCTGACTGTAAGCCTTCAATTAAAGCATACTTTAATATTCATTAAACCCCAAAACCTAGAACACTCATCTAAATCTAGGATGTTCCTCCAAACTGCATGAAGAACATCGGCAATTATATAATTTTTCCAGATCTTGTTGACATTTCTGATTTCACTTCTGTCATTTACTCTTGTAGCTCCTAAAGCTGCATATGAATTTTAAAGGAGTACAGGCCACACGAGGTTACAATCTTCCTGATGATATTTCAGCAGAGGGAGATGCCAAGATTAAGAAAAATGAGACTAAATTAATAATTCAAGACAAAGCTTGTCTTTGAAAAAAATCATAACTTACCAAACAGAGCCTTATGATCTTAATACATATACTCAACTATTTCATTATTTATTTGAAACTATTTTTATTCTATTAAATTTATTCTCTGTGGATGTTTACAAACAGCTTATTTAAAATGGAGAGAAAAACACATGTACAGTCACTGTTCTTACAGTATATAAAAATGCATGTCCTATGTGAAAAATTAATATTCGTTAAAAATGTATATTCCAAATTGATTTATATGTTAGATTGCATGCCTGTTCTAGGATAAAACATATCAATGCTTTAATTATTAGTATGATATAAAAGATTACAAGAACAAAAATAATATGAAATGAAAGTTCTCCCATGAGGTAGCTTCCTACTGATGGAGAACGCTCATTACTGAAAATGAAACCATGGGTGAATGACCACAGAAAAACAAATCTCTTGAATACCAATACTAGATGAACAGGGAGCTCTTGTATTGTCATCTTTGGTTCAGTCACAATAGCTTTCCTTTCATTTTGACTTTCTATACACATCTTCTAAATAAATACATATTTTAAGCAAAATATTCCATAGAATAAATCTATGTGAAGAGTAATTACTGGCTTGGAATCTTTTGGGCATTTTTAGATTACTAGATTTCAGAAAAAAAAAAGGAGAAAATGCTCTGAAACCTCAGACAACAAAATAAACATAATTATAAAAGGCATTTACCAAATTAATAACATTCTAATTGGTAGCAAGTTTCTTCCATCCACTTACATTGGTCACAACAATCTAAGAAGACACATGAAGTATTAATGGAAAAAGTTTTGACTTCAAACTAACGTACAGACATTTCTTCAGTGTGAATGAATAGACAAATAAGAAATAATGAGATTATTATTATGTTGGCACGCCCAACATATAATAGAAAGATAGTATTCTTTTAAAATCTGAGAAGTGCATCTATGCAGCCTAGTGTTATCAGAAAAATTGTTACAATAGTTAAAAATAATTTAAAATGCAAAATAACAAATAACACAAAGATAACATTTAATGGTCAGTGTTAATATGTATACATAAAATATATCTGTATATATTTATATATAACAGAGATTGTATGTACTTACAGCCCTCATAGATGTCAGTGGGAATATGGACAGCTGCATGCTGATAGGATATCTGCCGGCCAAAATTTGCATCCTCAATGAAGACAGGTTTAATCCTCTGGCTGCCTGGCTCACTGTCATTTTTTTCAGGCTACAGAAAAAATGATAGATAATAAACAACTTTACAAGTTATGCGAACATAGAGTCACATCCATTAATAAATTTGCTAAAGGTACATTCTCAAAAATAGATCTATAGCAATATCTTAAAATATATTTCCATGGTAACATTGTAAGCACAAATTTTTTTCAGGTGCTAGCATTCACATTTTATCTTTATAATATTATTTGATTGTCAGTAATCTCCTGTTTTCTTCAGTGTTGGGGTTATTCTGCAATTATCTAGTTTTCTCACATAATACATACCAAACCTTTACAGAACAGAAGGGTCTTTGAATAGGAGCAATCTAAAATTATCCACATTATCCACTTGAAATTAACTCCACAATTGATGTTGCCCCATTGATGTTGGGCAGTCGAGAACAACTAATGGTATACATGATCACAAACAGTACCAATAAAAGGTGACTTTCCATGACGTTCTTCTACCTTGTTTGTGTTTTCTATGTATGTCAACAATAACAAAAAATCAACAACAACAAAAATGAAACTAAGCTATAGTGCCAAAGCCCCAAGTTCCAGCCCCAGTACCCGAAAAAAAATAAAATATATATATATATATATATTTCTTCATGTATCTTGTTGGTCATTCTTATTTCCTCCTTAGAGAAGTCTCTCTTTAAGTCTTTAGCCCACTTATTAATGGGGTCATTGGGTTTTTTTTTTTTTTTGAGGATTTATGTTTTTTTGGTGGGGTTAATTTTTTGAGCTCTAAGTATATTTTAGATATGAAGCCCTTGTCTGTTGTATTGTTAATGAAGATCTTCTCCCCCTCTGTGGGCTTTCTATTTATTTTCTTATCTATGTCCTTTGCCACAAAGAAGCTCTGAAGTTTAATCCAGTCCCATTTAACCAATGTTTCTTTGATTTGTTGTGTTTCTGGATCTTTATTGAGAAAGTTTCGACCTGTGACAAGGAGCCCTAGTATTTCCACTATTTGCTCCTGTAATATTTTCAGTGTATCTGATTTTACATTGAGAGTTTTGATCCATTTGGAGTTGATTCTGGTGTAGGTGATATATAAGGATCCAAAGCGTATAGCCATATGTGTAACCAATTCTGCCAGCACCATTTGTTGAAGTGGCTGTCTTTCTTCCATCCTAACTTTTTGGCTCCCTTAGGTAGCTCTAGGTATGTGGGTTCCTTTCTGGGTCTTCAATTCTATTCCATTGGCCCTCAGGCTTGTTTATGTGCCAGTACCAACCTGTTTTTGTAACTATGGCTTTAATGTTCAACATCTTTGGCCATAAAAGAAACATAAATCAAAACAACATTGGGATTCTACCTCAGCACAGTTAAAAGGCCATTATCAAGAAAACAAATAACACATGCCAACAGGGATGTGGCCAAAAAGGGATACTACTACACTGTTGGTGGGAATGTAAACTTGTTCAACCATTCTGGAAAGCAGTATGGAGGTTCTCCTCAAAAGGCTAAACACAGAGCTCCCCTATGACCCAGCAATTCCACTCTTGAGCATTTACCAAAATGAACACAAACAAGGCTACACTAAAGCTACCAGCACAGACTTGCTCATTGCAGTGTTATTTACCTGGCCAAGACATGGAATCACTCCAGATGTCCTTCAGTAGATGAATGGATCAAGAAAATATGGTATATATACACAATGGAATTCTATGCTTCCATCAGAAAGAATGACATTGCCCCATTTGTAAGGAAATGGAAAGACTTGGAAAATATCATATTAAATGAAGCAAGCCAGGCCCAAAGAAACATAAGCTGCCGGGTTTCTCATTTGTAATAATTAGTACATTTCTAAGATAGTTCTAGCAGAGGATCATAATAGTTCAATAGCTATATGTATATGACCTTATAAAATTATGCTAATCGAAATGAGCTACAAGATACAGGAATAAGAGTGTTTATTTTATTGTTTGGGGATTTTTCCCCCTTAGTGTACTTTATACAGTCATTTTTTTCCATTTTTTTCTTTTTTTTGTCGGTCGTGGAGCTTGAACTCTGGGCCTGGGCACTGCGCTCTACCACTTGAGCCACAGTGCCACTTCCAGTTTTCTGAATGGTTAACTCTAGATAAGAGTCTCACAGACGTTCTGCCAAGGCTGGCTTTGAACCGAAATCATCAGATCTCAGCTAGTAGTTCCTGAGTAGCTCGGATTATAGGTGTGAGCCATGAGCAGGCTTTCCTTTCATTTTTTTTTCTTTTTCCCACTTTCATTTAACCTGTTGTCATTTTTTTTAAAGTTTTGTACCCTTTGTATTGGATGTAAGTTTATCTGATTTGGGGATGGGAAGGAGAATCACAGAAATGGTGAGACAAAGGACAAAGGGGGAATCAATTCAACAGTAACACTCACAAGACACTATGTTGAAAATGAACTTTACAACTTGGGGTCAGGTCCAGGGGGAGAGGGAAAGTGGGAGAAAAAGAGGGAGAGGTAACACTGAAAAGAAATGTACTCATTGCCTTACTTATGTAGCTATAACTCCTCTGAATATCACCTTTACAATTAACAAAAAACAAAACAAGAAAATTTCCTAAAAGTCTACTTCATTCTGTTTAAACTACACTTTATTACAGGCACAAGTACTACAAGATCCCACTCAACACAGAATCCAAAAATATCTCATAAAAGCTTCAAGTAGATCGTAGTAGTTACTCTCCAGAGACTGGGAGAGTAATAGGGTAGGATGAAAAGGGATTGTCTAGTGGATACAACATTGCAGGTAGAAAGAAGTATCTTCTTACTGCTCACTAGGGTGACTGAGGTTAACAATAAAGCACATTTCAAAAGGATGTTAAAGGTCTTACTATAAGAAATGTTTGAAGAAAAAGGTAAGTTCAACCTGATTTAAACATAACATAAAATGAAGGCATATAGATACACGACTTGTACCCCATTATTATGCACACATTGATCTTTTTATGAAGCAGTTAATGACCAATTAAAACTTTCCAAAAGGAAAATGTTTGTTCATTGAGCATGATCCTGTCCATGTCTTGGACTCTCACATCAGATGTGAGGAATTAACAATGGTGATGTTGTTTCTGTTCTATAATTCCATGTCATGTAGTGCAAAAGTCATTTTTATGCTGTTTAAAGTTAAACACATGTTCAACTTCAGCTAAAAGTTTATTTTTCAATTTTGAAAACAAAATTTAAATCATATCTATTCCTTCACAGGCTTGCCCTTCCTCTAGAGGGTGGAATTGCACAGGTAAGGCCCTACAAGGACTCCTTGCTCCAAGTGGATCAGGACTGCATGGCATACTATTACCTTCTCTTCTAAGTACCAAGTGTGTGACAGTACACAAAGGTCCTACATGTACCTATTTATTTGCAAACTTTAAATGACAGTTTATAAAGCATCTAAGATACAACAAGCATATATGTGTGTGTGCTAGCTATTTATCTAGTTCATTATCTAGTATACAACAACATATATATGCATATATATATATATATATAGCAGGTACACACACATATCTGCCAGCTATAACAATTTAATTCAAATGCATTACAACCAACATAACACAGTCATTTATTTATATGCATCTAAAAAACCCCTCTGTTAAGTGTATGCAGCAATAATTAACATTCTCTCTATCGTGTACTTGAGGATTTTGTATTGAGAGTGTCAGAGCCCAGAAAATAAATGGTGCATACTCCAAGAAACTTTAGTTACAATGTAACTTGATTTCTTTGTTGCTTTGTATGCCCCTCCCCCATGGTACAACCCCTGTTTTCACTGTATTTGATGTTGGTATAATTTGTGGAGGGGAAAGGAAAAAACAAATGATTTAAATAGGGATTCAAGTGGACCCATTGCAACAATTTGATGTACAAATCCTTATGTCAAAAAACGAACTTTACAACTTTGGTGGGGGGTAAGGGGGCAGGGGCAGGGAGATGGGAAGGGATGGTAAGGGGAAACAAAGAAGGAGGCAACAATGCTTGATAAGAAATGTACTCATTATCTTCCCCATGTAATTGTAACCCCTCTGTACAGTATTTTCACACAAAAAAAAAGTAAAAAAAAATAAACCAAAGTAAGAAAACAAAGACTAAATTCTTTCTTTAGATTTTGAATTTTTTGAAATAATTATAATTGTTTTTTATCATTGTTTGATGCCTGATCCCTTCAGCAGATATAGAATGACATTTATTTCCATAAAATAAAAATCATAAATGACCGGGTTTTTAGAAAGACATTTAGATAGGATGAAGCATTAGAATTAATTTTCAAGTAGACAACACTCGGCTAAGAAAATAAATAGCAACATAAATATGCAAAAAAATTCAGCCAGAGAGCCAACTATCCCAGACAGTTCAGATTTTTAGCATGATCAATAAAACTAAATGCAGCCAATAAATCAAGTCAATTTAATGACATGAGGAATTTGGATTGAACTTGCTCCATTTGGATTTTAGTTAGAAACATAGATCTTGGAATTAGGTTAATAAGGGTTGGTAATGATCGGATTTCTTTTTGCTTACTTGGGGGAAATTGAGAAAACAGAGCAGCTGGCTGCCACAAGGCCAGCCTTCTGGGAAGTCTGCTTCCCTAACCGTCAGGGAACTGAGAATTTATCAAGCCAGATGTCTCAAAAAACCTAACTAAGAACCTAAACAAATTCCAAATCTAAGAAGTCCTTAATTGTGTATTTTCATAGATAATTATTTCATTAGTAGCTGTTTTCTTTTTTCTTTTTTTTGTAAAATTTAAATACATAAAACCTAAACTAACATCAAGAAAACTGCTGTATGTTGTGTTCATACCCTCTTCAAGTATTCTTGGAAGATTCAACTACAAATTTTGTGCATTGCCTTAAGTTATGCAAATACAATGATATAGTTCATAACAATACAATGTGAAATATATCAGCCTGTTCTCTTTCACTGTTGCTATGTAGACAAGAACACACCACATGATACAAGTATATCTCATTTCATGGCCAAGAATTGTTGATGTTTTATATGTGTCCATTAAT